ATCTGCCATCATCAGGCTTCTGTATTGTGTCCGTCTGTGGGTCAGACTTTTACAGTGGTTTCAGATTTAAATTTAAATCTGAAACCACTGTAAAAGTCTGACCCACAGACGGACACAATACAGAAGCCTGATGATGGCAGATGAGATTCTGCTGAAACGTTGCTACAACTTTAAAAGAACTACAATGACGTGGGAAAATACCCGAACCAAGCCGAACACCATACATGTAAGTACCCGCGAAAACTTAAGAAAACATATATATATATACACACATACACATACACATACACATACACATACACACATACATACATACATACATACATACATACATACATACATACATACATCTAGGAAGGGAACATCTTATGAAGATGACACCTTCATAATCTGGCCACACGGGAAAGAAAAACTGAACAACTTCCTCACACACTTCAACAGCCTACATCCCAAAATACAATTCACCATGGAAACAGAAGCTAACAATCAACTTCCCTTCCTAGATGTCTTAGTATACAAAAAATCCAATGGCTCCCTAGGACACACCATCTACCAGAAGAAAACACATACAAACCGCTATCTACACGCACTCTCACACCACCACCCAGCACAGATCAATTCCGTAGCCGAGACACTCATCTCCAGAACAAAATGCTTAGCCAACGAACAACACCTAAAAACCAAACTACACACTCTCACTAATGTACTAACAGCCAATGAATTCCAAAGAAAGAAGATTACCCACCTAATCCAAAAAGAAACCCCAACCAAAATCCAAGACAGAGAACAAGAGAACGGCAAAGCCCTCCTCCCATATATAAAAGGCACTACAGACAAAATCAGCAAGATCCTCCAAAAACACAACATTAAGACAGCATTCTGCACAAATAGAAAAATATCTACCATCCTAAGAAACCCTAAAGACAGAATCGAGTTAGAAAACCAAGGAGTATACGAAATCCCATGCACCACCTGTACCACCACATACATCGGACAAACCAACAGAAGAATAAGTGCACACAT